TTCCATTAAAGAAATACATATTTCCAGCTTTTAAAATGCTTCTTCAGCATTCAGCAGGAGTCATTCGACTGGTACATTATCCTGGCCTTGCCATTTCTGTATTTTATTTTGGTCATTTTTAAGAAAGGTAATGGTACAAACTGTTTGAGTTGTAATCAGTTAATATGTACAGAAATTTACATGGCACTTTTTGTGCTTTAAAAAAAAGGTAGGGTGGGCATATCATCTGCTTTTTGATCTGAAAAGTAAAGCACTTTCTTAAAAAACTGTATTTTTCAAATACATTTCTTTTGTTTCAAACAGCCTTATTGAGATGGAATTCACACACCATACAGTTCAGCCATGTGAAGTGAACTGTTCACTGGCTCTCGGTGTACTCAGGGCTCTGTGTCCCTGTCAGAACCCGGTTCAGGACGTTTCATTGCCCCCAAAGACCCGTGCCCCTCGGCCGCTGACGTCAGCAGTCGCATCTTCCCAGCTAGGAACCACGAACCTTCGTTCTGTCTTCACGAGTTGTCTCTACAGGGATAGTCTATTAATACTAGGGACAAAAGTTTGGGAAAACAAGTATTTTAAAGATTACTTGTTATCTTAACAGTCTACTATGTTAATTTTCCTAAATGAACTCTTTTTACCTTATGTATATAATGAAATAATTAGTACATCTTCCTCTTCTAAGTAAATGACTATATGGGACCTGCTGTCCATTACAATTTTTTTTTTTTTAATTCTGGAGAGATAAAAGTTGGCGTTTGTGAGGAAATCTTTCCGTATATCTAGTACCCTCTATTGAATTTAATTTAAAGCATATTATTAATTACTTTGATTAATTACTAGTCATTAATTTCTTAGAATACGCCATGACTTGTTTTTGCTGGGATAGTACAAGGGGCCTTCCCTTCCCCACTAGCATTTATGCAGCAAACCATTGCTTTCAGACCTGCTCACTGGTGCGGTTTAGGGATTTTATTTTAAAAACCTTCTGAGCCAAGAAATCCTCTCCTCAAAAACCTGCAGCTGCCTGCCCACTGGACACCACTCTGCCTCCTCCCTCCCCTCCCTCCGGTGAGGCCGCCCAGGTCCTTCTGGGTGCTTCTTAGCACAGTCTGCAAAGAGCTGGGGTATCAGAACGTTGTTTGATCTTAGAAATACTGGTCTTTGCTTTCTTTATAATTATTTTGAATTAGCAGCAATTTCTTCCAATAAAATATTCTTCATTTTTTACCTATTATGAATCTGTAAAATAAGGTGTACTAACTAGATAAAATAGGTACTATTATGTGCGTGAGTGTTTAAGCTATCAAAGGTAATAAATTGTTTTAATTACTATAAAAGTATTCATTATAAAGATCGCGGCAATTCAAAGAATTGTTCCTCCGTTCCCACCAGTTCCCCGAAGCCACCTATAGGATGCTTTAGTAGGTTAGCTGTGATATAAAAATGAAACAAATGGAACATTATGTCTTATGGTAGTATTATCTAATTTAGTTCTTTAGGCAATTTTGAGTGTTTCTCTTTGTAATCGGACCAAATAAGTAAAATTTCATAATATTCAGTGATTTAAAGTTACAGCTTTGTTATAATTTTCATAATATAGCTTTTCAACAGAAAGGCATTTAATTTCTAAAAACAGCTCAGGTAAGAACTTCCAAGAATACAAAAGTGTTATTATCCTTCATTTGATATTTTGCATTTTCTTGCAGTTTTTCCTAGACATCAAAATGTTCAAGATGAGAAATAGCTATAAATGAAAAATAAGACTAGGCTCGACATACCCAAATAATATGCAGTTTCATTTAGCTGTGGGGGGAAAAGCCCTCCAGATATGCTCTCAGCTGAATAAATTCAACTCTAAAATTGTCCACATGTGATCTGAGAATTGACTTTTGTATCAGGTCCATAAGAAAAATAAAAAATAAAACTCAGCCATGCATCACTGGGGACCACACATGCGATGGTGGTCCTGGAAGACTGTAAAGGAGCTGAATTTCCTGTAAGAAGCAGAAGGCCGTGTGGTTCAGGGGGGATTGGTTTTTCTCCGACAGGAGCATTCTCTGTCGGTCTTGACAGCAGGTTTCCTCTCACTCGCTCACTGCACCTCAGTTCTGAGTGCGCTGACCGCATCCCAACCTGTCAGCCTCCGCCCTGTCCCAGCACCGCGGAGCCTGTCCCCCAGCGCTGCCTATTCACAGGGCACCACAGCCCTCCCAGGTCTAGCCTGACGGTCCTTAGAGTGCCTGGCTGCACAGGGTCTTGGGTCCTGTACATTCTTTGTTGAGGACCACAGGAGCTGCCTTAATGAATATTAAGTGCCACTGCCACTGGAGGGAGAGCTTTCTGTGGTGGCATGGAGCCTGCCTGTCCCTGCACTCTGGAAATGTTTTCAGGTTGTAAGGGTATAAGCATAGCCAAGTTTTATTTCTTCCATCAGCTCAATGCCAGAGAGAGCCCTCTGTGCCAGACAGGGTCAATGGAACCCAAACAAATTTCCAACATCGGAATATTGAGTCCTCTGTTCTATGCACTCTCCTTGTTAGACGACCCTTTTTCTCAATGAATACCACCAAGTTCCTTAATCTGACCACTGTTCCTGCACACAATAGCCAGAACCACACCGCCATGACAATCCCCATGGTCCTTTTCCATCTTGATTTCTCAGGCCACCCCCCACCCCCCCACAGTCTGTGTCATGGTGGTCTGCGCTGGACCCAGCCAGCTTCGTCAGCCCAGCCCACGGCCCTGTTCGTGGGGCAGCACTGGCAGCTTCCATGTTCTGACTCGGTCCAGTGGAAGCAGGGGGAGGGCTGTGGGATGGCGCCTGTAAAGTCTGCAGGGTGTGCGGCAGTGTGCTCGGCCTTCACGTCCACTCACCCCTCCCTCGCTGACTCACCCAGAGCAACTTCCAGTCCTGCAAGTTCCATTTCTGTAAGTGCCCTACGCAGTGCGCTTTTACCTTCTATGCTGATTTTTACTGTACTTTTACTGCATTTACATGTCTTTAGAAACACAAGTGCTCACCACTGTGTTGCAGCTGCCTGCGGCGTTGACTCCACTAACATGCTGTACAGGTTTGTAGCCTGAGAGCGAGAGCCTGTACCGTGGAGCCTAGGTGTGTGGTAGGCTCCGCCATCCAGGCTCCGCCATTGTGTAAGTGATGTTCGCACAAGGACAAATTGCCTAGCGATGCTTTTGGCAGACTGCATCCCTGTCATTAAGCAACGCAGGACAATAGAAATGAGCACTGCTCTTCGGAATTTATAGAAAATAAGTTAAAATCTAAAGAACAAAGAAGCCGAGTTGAGTTTGTGATTTTCAACTCTAGTTAGCTATTTGTTCTTTGCAAACATAATGAACTGTTTTTTTCTAACTTAAGAGGGGGGACTACTCAATACGGTAGTTCCCCCTTATCTTTGGGGGAGATGTTAAAGACCCCCAGTGGATGCTGGAAACCTCAGATGGTACCAAACCCTATATGTATGTGTGTGTGTGTGTGTGTGTGTATATGTGTGTGTATACATATATATACACACACACATACATACTGTGTCTTCTCCTATACATGCATACCTATGATAAAGTTGAATTTATAAATTAGACACAGTAATAGATGAGCAATTATAACATAGAATAGTTACAATAATACACTGTAATACAAATTACCTCTCTCTGACAACTGAAGCAGCTGAGTGACTAAGCGTATACAGAGTGGAGATGCTGGACACGGGAATGGTCCACATCCTGGTGGGAGAGCACGCGATGGTGCGAGATTTCATCGCAGCACTCAGCACGCAGCACTCAGCATTCCCCCATACAAGTTAAAACTTAAGAATTGTTTATTTATGGAATTTTCCATATAACATTTTCAGGCCACGATTGATCACGGGAAACTGGAACTGCAGATAAGCGGGGCTGCTGTAGTCTTCCTTCCAGGAAGCCGATTTACATAGAAATTTATCCAGTATTGTGGGCACGTGTAGGAGGCAGTTGCCTAGAACACGAGATGTATATTTATACTGAGCATGTCGAGAATTTGCTGGCGTAAGCAGCAACGCTGAGTTCACGTCTCTGATAACGAGTGTCATCAGCCACGCCTTTCCAGTTGGATCTCAGTCCTGTCACTTCACACCACTGCGTTCGTATGTGAATATGTATGTTTCCCCCCCACTTTCCACACAGACCCATAATACTTGTTCAGAAGGGAAGTCATAGACATAACAAAAAATGAATTGGAAAGTAAAGGTAAGACATACATTGTCCACCCAATTTTTGTCAGATCTCTTAATTTATACCCCAACCTTTTACACATGTTCTTCATATTTTGAATATTTTAAAACTTTTTGAGAAGTCTTTTGTACTATTTATCTAATTCATGATGAGAGGCAAAGTAAAAGATAATTTTGCATTCAAAGAATATTTTCATGAGAATATCAGTGCAGTGTAGAGTAGGTACTGTCTTCCTCTTTAATTAGATGAGCTCATCTTGAGTGCCAACCTCAGTTTAGAAAAATCACAGGCCCATTCATGCACACAGTCAGCCCAAAGTGTAAGTCTGCGAAGTGTGTGTTGGAAGTGTCAGAACAAAAAGCACTTAAAGCTTCTTTAGGGCTTTTGTTATTCAAAGTAATGGTGTTTAAATTTCCAAGATATAAAAAAAATTAAGTCTACTAATTAGTTGTTGGCAGGTCCATTTCATATCACTTTGGCAGAGGATGGTAATGGGCTGAGGATGTTTTCCTTACATCAGATACAACGTTCAGACCATTTCTGCAGTGAGCGCTCCTCTCCTGGGCTGGCAGGAATCCAGGTGCCCACCCGCACACACTCTCGAACGCGCTCACAGGTTGTATGGTATATCGTTTAGAAAAAAGAAAAGCCGGTTTGTATGAATTAACAGTATTTTTAATAGGAAAAATGCTAAAGACAAAGTGTAATTATGTCATTCATTTTATGTTATGAAATCTTCTTACTTTTTGATATTTTCCTCTGTTTTTTTAAACCAGGCTCATTTTGGAATTCGGCTTCCTTCAACACTGAGGCATCATACCTTCATTTTCCTACTTTCCATGGAGAACTCAGTGCAGACGTGTCTTTCTTTTTTAAAACCACAGCATCCTCTGGGGTGTTTTTAGAGAACCTGGGGATTACCGATTTCATACGGATAGAGCTGCGCTGTACGTCTCCTTTTCCAGATGAGTCGATGGAATTCTATTAAGTAGTAAATCCTTTAACTAATTTTTAAAGTACTATGTTTCTACTTTATCAGCTGAATCTTTTCACTGTGTCCCTTTGAAAAAAAATTCCATGAAATTAAGTTAGTCTTTCAGTAAGAAAATAATTTAATATTATTTAACCTTTGATAATTTGGGGAAATCATTGTATCCTCTAGAACCAATTTGAGATTCGTTTTAAATTGTAATAATGAAAATATTTTTTTAAAACTAAATTCTCAATTAATTACAAAATTAATTAAATTGACTAGCCATATTATTTTTATATACTCTTAAGACTGTTACTAGTCTCAATATCAAATGCATATTGACACTCTAAAATTTATATAAACTTCGAGTCGCTCTACAATTAGTTTTTGTTTTTATAAAATGCTACTTAGGTTTCTTGCCCTGGCTGAATACCTTTACTTTCTATTCATATGAAAAAATAACTTTGAGAATGAATTTCTTAAAATTTGTTTATTCCAAAAATATAAAAGTGTTTTATTGCTTCAGTCCACAGCTACTCTTTACTAATGTCCTTGGGTCCACCCATGCAATTCGCATCATTATATTCAGGAGTTGCTACGCTGTGGTGCTGTTCCCTCTAGTGCTGAGGACTCAGCTCTCCACCATGGGGACCCACGTGACAATCTTCGTGTCTAACATTTCCAGCTCCGGCTGTCGTGACTTTTTCATTTGATGTTGGAAACGGGCCTTCTGAAATCTCCGTGCAGTCACCCACTCACTTCAATGACAACCGGTGGCACCATGTCAGGGTGGAAAGGAACATGAAAGAGGCATCCGTTCAAGTGGATCAGCTCCCACCAAAGGCCCAGGCTGCTCCCGCGGATGGACATGTCCTTTTGCAGCTAAACAGTCAACTCTTCGTGGGTGAGTTCTGTTTCTAGGCAGTTTGTCATTTAATTGTAGGATGTAAGGGCAGACATGAACCTGAATAAAATAATACCAGCTATGAAAACAATGATCATAACAACAGCAGATCGTCGTTTGTCGAGAACCTGCGTTCCAGAGTGTGTGCCGGCGTTTCCTCTCTTCCCCGTAATCAGCCTGGGGAGTGGCACTGTCCCTCCTTCACAGAAGAGGTGGCTGGTGTTGAGGCGGTGAAGTGGCTTGCTTTCAGCAATCTACCTAGTGAATGATACTCAAATTTGTATTTAATTCCTAAACCCGAATTCTTAATATTGCAGATTTCATGAATTGTTTTAGGATTGGTACTTGTTTTTGTTTTTGTTTTTAAACTGATCCCTGTATGTGCCCAGACAGGGCATCAAACCCCCAGCTCTGGTGGTATCAGGATGACACTCCAACCAACCGAGCTACCCAGCCAGAGCTCCATGACTTGTTTTCACGTTAGTGCTTTTTGTATGATATTGGAGATGATTGTTTCTGTTCCCTGGGGAGCTGAAGAACCCTCCTTGTAATTCCGGGCAATGCCAACTGGTGACTTTTCATCAAAAAACAGGCTAAAAACTGGAAAAAAAGACAAGCAGGGATAAATGTATAAAATCTGTGCTTGACCAGTTTCACCAGTCCTGCTGCTGGGGCCTCTCATTTTGTCTATTTTTGGGAAATGTTCTGATCACTTTCTTCATATTTATCGTCAATGGTTGTTCTTTTATTTCCTAAATACATTTGCTGGGTATTTATAGACCTGCTAGTATGTATTGGTTTTATTTCTCATCTTTGCTAATTACATTATAGAACTTACTGACCATGAAGTTCGAGGAATATTCTCTTACTTGATCACTTTTTTCTATGTAAGGACAAAGTAACACTATAAATCAGAATAAAGTATAAAGGATCAGAAATTATATTTCAAGCATTTTTAAGGGTTATGTTTTAGAATGTAATTCATGAGATCCCCATTATATCGTCTTTTGCTTAACAATCTTGGTTTATTGACTCTTTCAATGCAAAGGTTGAAGCTTATTTGTGATATGTGTATATTTTTAATTCTTGACCAAGAATAAGTTTATTGATTTTAGAGGGAGAAGAACATGGGTGATGGGGAGAAACATCAATCACCTGCATCCCATATGTACCCAGGGATTGAACCCACAACCTAGGTATGTGCCCTGACTGGGAATCGAACCCACAGACTTTGGGTATGTGAAACAATGCCCCGACCAACTGAATCACCCAGGCAGGGCTGTGATTTTTTTGAATAAGGTATATTTGAGATGTCTAATACATTTATGTACCCACTGTTTTTATCATTTATTCTTTGTTTCATTCGATAAACATTTAATGAACAGCTTCAGTGAGCAAGGCTCTGTAATGGTCCATCTAATCATGATGGCCAGTCAACTGAGTTATTTAAGGATATGGAAATAATAAAGAATATATGAGAAGAAATACATAAGTTTTCTTTTAATACCATAGTAGAAGCTCAGCCAGGAAGTTGACATAGATATTTCTTGAATTACAAAAAATGAGAGATAGCCACAGCCAAAGGTATGGCAATTTAAAATCTGTCAGGATCTAGGAAATAGCCTTACTATTCTTGGAGATTGAAAAGGCTAAAACAGTCCTCAAATCTTTCAGTGAAATCTGTTGCAGCCTTGCCTGCACATGAACTTTTATCCTTGGTATGAATTTTAACTTCATAGAAATGGAGTGACTATATATTGTGTCTGATAGGAATCCTGGCCTTAATTTGATTTCAGGTACTTGTAATGGATAAGAGTGCTATTATGATATCAGAAAACTGGGTTAGCAGAGACTTGAGTCTTCTGCCGTCAGTCATGTTTTATAATTTTAATAAGGATCTAAGAGATTTTATCTTTATAGAGGCAATTGGTAGGCTTTTGACATTCCCATATATGTTAAATCTCAGGATGACTGTATTACTTGAACATTTTAAAAACTGAAATCTTGGTTATGTTTAAGTCTAAGTCACTGAAAATTAAAAAGAAGAGGCAGAAAGAGAAATCTCAGATGTTATACATCTACTATTAATAAAAATCTAGTTATACAATTCCCTCTTCCCTTCTTACAGGTAATTGAGTAAATTGAAATGGTGAATGTGCTGTTATTAAAAAAAAAGGTTCACTGTTTTAGAAAAGGAGAGCCGCTGTAGGTAGAGGCAGACCATTGGCTATTGAGAGGCCACGTGAGGGTCTTGCTGTATCTTCCTCCTTCACAGGAGTGGACTGCCTTCTTAGTTAGGGGCCCCGACTAAGTTAATAGAATACTTAACAAGACAAAACACTGATTTATAAAATTAATATCAAACAATTCATAATTTAAAAAGTTACAGATGAAAAAAAATTTTTTGCAGGAAGATTCAAAGGAAGTTAAACTATAATTTAAAAGGCTACTCCAAATCAGTGCAAAGAGGATGAAAACTAGTAAAAAAATCAGTGATAATTGTAGCTATTTTAATGTCTCACTAAGACCAAGAAGTAGTTCTCTGCTTTCTTTAGAGTATATTTCAGTGCAGGAGACAAGAGATAGCCAATGAAAGAGTAAAATATAAGACAAACTAAAATAAATAAATACATATATATATATAATGTAGGTATATACACATACATATGTATATACATGCATGCATGCACATATGTTTCAATGTATATATGTAATTTCAGGCAATGCCAAACACTATAATGTAAAGAGCAGGGTGAGGAGTCGGGCAGTGGTCTGAGTTGGTGGGGTTCTGTTTCAAGTGGGTTGGTCAGGAGAGTTCTCTCTGAGGATCTTACATTTGAACAGAGGCCAGATAAAACAGAGAAAGGAACCCTGTGAATACAGGAAGGAAGGGGATTCCAGGGGAGAGAGCGTGCTGGAAGTGGTGGGGATGAGCGTTAGGTGGTCAAGGGGCATGGAGAAAGTCGGTGTGGCTGGAGGAGAGAAGCAGCATGAGGGAAAGAGAGGTCCGGAGTGAGGCAGGGTTGGTAGCCAGCCTTTAAGGCATTGGTGAGTTTGAATTTTATTTCAAGGTCAGAGGGGCAGCATGCTCTAATCTACATTTTCCACATTCTTTCTTGCTGAGGTGAGGAATGCAGATGGAGGGAATAGGGTAGAAGTGAGGGATAGTGGTTCATAGGCTACAGTGGGATGGGCACAGAGAGCTGGGAAATTTTCAGTGTCAACACACGCAACTTGCTGCTGACATGGTTATTGCCGTTACTGCTCACAGCTTACCCAGCTAATCTCCTTGAGGGCAAGATGCTGCTCGGCAGGTCTCCAGTTTCGTACCTCATTTCTCAGTTTTTCATTTCACCTGAAGTTAGCTTTTCTTTGTTTCTTCCTTTATCCTTATTCGTATGTGATTAAAACTGTCCCTGGCCCCACGATCTGGATTGTACAAGGTCTGTCCAGGAAGTATCCAGCCATGTACTATGAAAAATAGAGACATTTATTGAAGAAGTTACAAGATAACAAAAAACATTGCACACAGGACAATGACGCCACAGTCCTCTTCAAAGTAGGCACCTCGGGACCTCACGCAGTTCTCCCAGTCGTCATCAGTTGCCCTGTCATATTTTTTTAATCTCATCAATGGTCTGAAATCTTTTCCTTTTCAAAGGTAATTTTAGTTTTGAGAAAAGCCAGAAGTCACAAGGCGCCAGATATGGGCTGTAGGGAGGCTGAATCACCTGGGTGATTTGACGTTTCGCCAAAAAACTCTGCACAAGACATGACGCATGAGTGGTAGTATTGTCCTGATGAAGCTGCCCATCACCAGTTGCCCATAGCTGCAGTCTTCTGAATCATCCAAGTAGTTTCCAGGGAGGAACATTCAAGTTAACACAAAATTTGATGCAGATTTGTTACTGTACTCAATCAGTCATTTTGAACGTGATAGCCACACAGTACACATGCTCACTTTACAGCATCTGCAGCCTAATACAGTGGAGTCATCATTGTCCATGCATGTACATTCCAGTTCACTCTCCTTGGCTGCCAGGTTACGTCTGCGTCATGCAAACCATTCTTGTTATAGTAACAATGGTTGGACGTTTTCGGGACTGACCTCTTATACTACAAATCACACTTTTGTCTGCCTGCAAAAGACCTTCTTCACAGCCCAGAAAATGTATCTTACCTCCTCTCTCTCCACCCCATAATCACACTCTCACCAGGAAATCAGAGCTGCTTTGTTTATATGTTCTGTGCCAGCACATGTCAGAGGCAGAAGGGACCTTATCTTGAAAACCGTTCCCCCACATATTAATAACTCCAAATACATGAGTCTTCAGTTTGTTCAGTTTGAGCCAATGACTTGCTGTGTGACTGGGAATCTCTGCTTTATTCCAATAGGTAATTGGTTTTCTGCTTATAATTTTAAAGGTAATATCATTTCCATTCCTTAAAAGTTCAAGAGTTTAATTTGTAGTTCACCCGTCCATCTTAAAAATAATTATAGCTAATCATTATTTTCATGTATGCATAACAACTTTCATTTATACTTGGGTATTGGGACACTGGAGTGAGTAAATGTAACTGCAAAGAGTAAATATGTAGTTCTCAGCATAATTTTTTTCTCCTAAGAAAAATGTTCTAATTCCAGACACCGATTAGGAGGATAATAATAATAGTAGTAATGTTTTGAATTACCTGGAAACACAATCTTTATAAATGCAGGACAAATTGAAAGACTAAGTAAGTCTAAGGTAAATTTTTTTTGCATCTTCATATTTGGTAGCTTCTACCAAAAATGCTCCTTTTTTTTGGAAACAAACTTACTGGAAAAGATAAAAATTATTGTGAAGTATTTCAAATACCAAATAATATAGGAAATATTGGAAATTTTGGTAATGTAGAAATGTCTATTGTCAACACTTTCTACACACATGTGAAGCACTGTGGATGTTTGAGTACGTGTTAATTTTGATTTAAATTGGATTCCTCATCTCACTGTGCTC